AGGGCGGGGTCGGAATCCCATTCAGGGGCCGGCCTGCGACGACGAACCCTCAAATGACAGTCAGAGAACACTTTGCGTCGCTCGGATACCTCCTGAGTTGATATGGGCCTACATGTCCGTCATGCACCACCAGTCACACGCAGTCGGCTCCGTGTCAGTACGGGCCTGAAGGTCCACTTCCCATTAGCTACGAAATCAGGACTTACAATGATGAGCCCCTGTATCTGTCAGGGGCCCACAGTGCCTAACAGAGGTCCTGTACTCGCAAGGGGCCACGAGCCGAGCCCATTCCGCCAGAAGGAGCAAGGCCGGGCCGTGATTTGCGTTGGTCTGTGTCCCTGAGACAATAATTGGGACCCTGCGCGGGTCAGCGGGCACAGCGCCTAACAGGGGGTCATGTGTCGGCTAATGGCCCCTTATTGGTTTCGGGCTTCGTTAAAGAAGGTTCAAAGAGGGGCTGAAGGGCGCTTTCGGACCAAAGATCAAGGGCCCGATCAGAAGACTGAAGGGCCCAAAGGCTGGCCGTTAGTCATTAAGGATGCCCTCCCGCCCGTAAGTCCGTGACCTCATATATCAGTCAGAGGGTCTCTTGCACCAAGTGGGAACCCCTGGGGCAATGCAGGCCTCTATTTCGGCTAGAGACCACCAACAGTGAACGGTCGGTTGCATGTCGTTGAGAGCCCCGGGGGTCCATTTCCCAAGCATGAGCAAGGCCGGCCCGCGATTTACATTAACTGGGTCGCTAAAACCACGAGGGTGCCGTTCAGAGGCCTACGCTCAGAGGCCTACAGTGATTAGCAGGGGGTCCTGTGTAGGCAAGTAGTCCGAGTCGCCAGGAGCCGTATTTGTGGGGGTCTGAAAAGTAGGCCGAAGGGCCTCTCTAAACCAAAGATTAAGGGCCCTTTTGGACTCGGGCTCGGCGCCCATCCGTAGTGCCGTGGTCTGAAATGTCAGTCAGAGGGCTTTTATTAGGGCTGTCCTTAATGGTTATTTATCCACAGTATATAGGGCCTCGGCACGAAGCCAAATAGTCGGCTCCATGTCCGTCTGAGCCCTTAAAACTCATTTCCCAAGCAGGAACGAGGCCAGGGTCCACGACTTGCATCTGCTGGGTTCCTGACACGATGAGGGCTTCTGTGTCGGTCAGGGACATACAATGCCTAAGAGGGGCCCTGTGGTGGCAGTGACCCCAAGTCGGCCAGGGAGCGGTGTTTGAAGGTGCTCGGATAGGGTCGAAGGGTTTCTCGAGGCCAAAGATCAAGGACCCGATTGGAAGGCTGAGGGGTCCGAAGCGCTGGATGTAGGTCACCTAAGGACCCCGGCCGTAGGGCCCGTGATTTCAAATGTTATTTAGGGGGGCTTTTGCACCGTCTGGGGATCCCTGAGGCAGAACGCTCCCTTTATTCCTGCCAGAAATCACTATCATCGAACAGTCGGCTTCGTGTCAGTCTGAGCTCCGCGGCCCATTCCTTAGAAGGGACAAGGCCGGGCGCGCGATTCACAATGGTCGGGGTCCCTGAAGCAATCCCTTTTATCATTCAGGGACCCGAAGTGCCTGACAGGGTGTTCTGTCTCAACACTGTCTGTCCCTGTTCTGTCTCTCGAGTCGGCCCGGGGAACATTTGCTCAACACGGACGAGGGCGGCACCCCGAATGAATGTGCCAATTAATGGACTGCACGGGCTCCGGCGCTAATGCTGGGCCAACTGCACAGATCAGGTGATTATGGAACGAATGGAGTTATCATCCTTATGTGTTTTGGGGTTACCTTAGAAGCATCTTTGGATGGGTTCACCATTTTTTTTTTTTGGAATTTAGTCACACCATCTTCAAAACTGGCCATAGTGATAGGCAGGCTCAAATGCTTTCCACCTTTTCAGAGGGGTTCATACTGAGCTTCTCAAACTTGGAGATGTCCTGCAGAATATTTTTTACGCAAGTACTCGGGGGCGATCAGCAGGGACG